GACTACCTGCCCCGCCCTCATGTGTCTCACCTGTGGTTGTACTTCCTGTCTGACTACCTGCCCCGCCCTCATGTGTCTCACCTGTGGTTGTACTTCCTGTCTGACTACCTGCCCGCCCTCATGTGTCTCACCTGTGGTTGTACTTCCTGTCTGACTACCTGCCCCGCCCTCATGTGTCTCACCTGTGGTTGTACTTCCTGTCTGATGACCTGCCCCGCCCTCATGTGTCTCACCTGTGGTTGTACTTCCTGTCTGACTACCTGCCCCGCCCTCATGTGTCTCACCTGTGGTTGTACTTCCTGTCTGACTACCTGCCCCGCCCTCATGTGTCTCACCTGTGGTTGTACTTCCTGTCTGATGACCTGCCCCGCCCTCATGTGTCTCACCTGTGGTTGTACTTCCTGTCTGATGACCTGCCCCGCCCTCATGTGTCTCACCTGTGGTTGTACTTCCTGTCTGATGACCTGCCCCGCCCTCATGTGTCTCACCTGTGGTTGTACTTCCTGTCTGATGACCTGCCCCGCCCTCATGTGTCTCACCTGTGTCTCGTTAGTCTTGTGTTTAGCCCTGTGTGTTCCGTCACTGTCATTCCTCGTCTGTTTTGGTTCTGTCCTCGGTCCCTGTGTTTTTGGATTTGCTTTATCTTTTTATTAAATCCATTGTTTTTTTGCAGTTCTGCATTTTGGGTCTCATTTCATTTTACTTTAATTCACGTGACAGCGCTCTCAGAGATAATGACCCAAACTGTGCCACAGAAATAAACTAGCCGTGCCTTCATGCAGTAATGAAATCATCTAAACTTTTCTAAAACTGTAAAGATTTGACTCTGTTGTTTCCCTCGCTCATCTCTGATAACCTTGCCTGGGAGCTGAATTCTCGCGGTATTTGTGAGTTCACAAACACTCGAGAATACATCTTGTCCCGCTCCAGCCAACCCTTTTTGAGTAGAACATGTAGGTGTTCAAGCCAATCACGCGCCAGTCTGGGGGTTTAGGGCGGGATATCCGGGTTTGACAAAAGCAAGAAGTGCCGGGCCGAAGCAAAACAAACATGGCTACGCAGGAGGACGGACGCGTAGCTGAGGCTATCCAGTCAGTTTTAGCAGAATCTCCAATTTATTTTTTGAAAGATGAACAGCGAGAGGCGCTTTGTGCATTTCTGGACGGCAAAGATGTTACCGGGATTGGTTTAAGTCAAACCTTGGTAGGCGGGCACACAGCGTCACTTCGCCCAATCAGCTTGAAGTATTCTGCTGCTTATCCCTCCTTTCCCCGAAAGGATTCTCCTGCAGAAATCCCAGATTGATATTGTGGAGAACGCATTAGAGTTCTACACAATCATCAATCTGCTCTCTCTCTGGTCTCTCTCTCTGGTCTCTCTCTCATCTCTCTCTAGTCTCTCTCTGGTCTCTCTCTCATCTCTCTCTGGTCTCTCTCTGGTCTCTCTCTCTGGTCTCTCTCTCATCTCTCTCTAGTCTCTCTCTGGTCTCTCTCTCATCTCTCTCTGGTCTCTCTCTGGTCTCTCTCTCTGGTCTCTCTCTCATCTCTCTCTAGTCTCTCTCTGGTCTCTCTCTGGTCTCTCTCTGGTCTCTCTCTGGTCTCTCTCTCATCTCTCTCTCATCTCTCTCTGATCTCTCTCTGGTCTCTCTCTGGTCTCTCTCTCTGGTCTCTCTCTGGTCTCTCTCTGGTCTCTCTCTGGTCTCTCTCTCTGGTCTCTCTCTCATCTCTCTCTCATCTCTCTCTGGTCTCTCTCTGGTCTCTCTCTCATCTCTCTCTCATCTCGCTCTGGTCTCTCTCTGGTCTCTCTCTCATCTCTCTCTGGTCTCTCTCTGGTCTCTCTCTGGTCTCTCTCTGGTCTCTCTTTCTGGTCTCTCTCTCATCTCTCTCTGGTCTCTTTCTGGTCTCTCTCTGGTCTCTCTCTCTGGTCTCTCTCTCATCTCTCTCTCTCTGGTCTCTCGCTCATCTCTCTGGTCTCTCTCTCTGGTCTTTCTCTGGTCTCTCTCTCTGGTCTCTCTCTCATCTCTCTCTGGTCTCTCTCTGGTCTCTCTCTCTGGTCTCTCTCTGGTCTCTCTCTCATCTCTCTCTGGTCTCTCTCTGGTCTCTCTCTCATCTCTCTCTGGTCCCTCTCTGGTCTCGCTCTCTGGTCTCTCTCTCTGGTCTCTCTCTGGTCTTTCTCTCTGGTCTCTCTCTCTCTGGTCTCTCTCTAGTCTTTCTCTGGTCTCTCTCTGGTCTCTCTCTGGTCTCTCTCTCATCTCTCTCTGGTCTCTCTCATCTCTCTCTGGTCTCTCTCTCTGGTCTCTCTCTGGTCTCTCTCTGGTCTCTCTCTCATCTCTCTCTGGTCTCTCTCTCTGGTCTCTCTCTCTCTGGTCTCTCTCTCATCTCTCTCTGGTCTCTCTCTGGTCTCTCTCTCTGATCTCTCTCTCATCTCTCTCTGGTCTCTCTCTGGTCTCTCTCATCTCTCTCTGGTCTCTCTCTGGTCTCTCTCTGGTCTCTCTCTGGTCTCTCTCTCATCTCTCTCTGGTCTCTCTCTGGTCTCTCTCTCTGGTCTCTCTCTCATCTCTCTCTGGTCTCTCTCTCATCTCTCTCTGGTCTCTCTCTGGTCTCTCTCTCATCTCTCTCTGGTCTCTCTCTGGTCTCTCTCTCTGGTCTCTCTCTCATCTCTCTCTGGTCTCTCTCTGGTCTCTCTCTCATCTCTCTCTGGTCTCTCTCTGGTCTCTTCTCTCTCTCTGGTCTCTCTCTGGTCTCTCTCTCTGGTCTCTCTCTGATCTCTCTCTGGTCTCTCTCTGGTCTCTCTCTCTGGTCTCTCTCTGGTCTCTCTCTCATCTCTCTCTGGTCTCTCTCTGGTCTCTCTCTCATCTCTCTCTGGTCTCTCTCTCTGGTCTCTCTCTCATCTCTCTCTCATCTCTCTCTGGTCTCTCTCTGGTCTCTCTCTCTGGTCTCTCTCATCTCTCTCTGGTCTCTCTCTGGTCTCTCTCTCTGGTCTCTCTCTCATCTCTCTCTGGTCTCTCTCTGGTCTCTCTCTCTGGTCTCTCTCTCATCTCTCTCTGGTCTCTCTCTGGTCTCTCTCTCTGGTCTCTCTCTGGTCTCTCTCTCATCTCTCTCTGGTGTCTCTCTGGTCTCTCTCTCATCTCTCTCTGGTCTCTCTTTCTGGTCTCTCTCTCATCTCTCTCTGGTCTCTTTCTGGTCTCTCTCTGGTCTCTCTCTCTGGTCTCTCTCTCTGGTCTCTCTCTCATCTCTCTCTCTCTGGTCTCTCTCTCATCTCTCTGGTCTCTCTCTCTGGTCTTTCTCTGGTCTCTCTCTCTGGTCTCTCTCTCATCTCTCTCTGGTCTCTCTCTCTGGTCTCTCTCTCATCTCTCTCTGGTCTCTCAATCATCTCTCTCTGGTCTCTCTCTGGTCTCGCTCTCTGGTCTCTCTCTCTGGTCTCGCTCTCTGGTCTCTCTCTGGTCTCTCTCTCATCTCTCTCTGGTCTCTCTCCGGTCTCTCTCTCATCTCTCTCTGGTCTCTCTCTGGTCTCGCTCTCTGGTCTCGCTCTCTGGTCTCTCTCTCTGGTCTCTCTCTGGTCTCTCTCTGGTCTCTCTCTCTCTGGTCTCTCTCTATCTCTCTCTCATCTCTCTCTGGTCTCTCTCTGGTCTCTCTCTCATCTCTCTCTGGTCTCTCTCTCTCTGGTCTCTCTCTGGTCTCTCTCTCTGGTCTCTCTCCTGGTCTCTCTCTCTGGTCTCTCTCTGGTCTCTCTCTCGGTCTCTCTCTCGTCTCTCTCTGGTCTCTCTCTGGTCTCTCTCTCTGGTCTCTCTCTGGTCTCTCTCTCTCTGGTCTCTCTGGTCTCTCTCTCATCTCTCTCTGGTCTCTCTCTGGTCTCTCTCTGGTCTCTCTCTCATCTCTCTCTGGTCTCTCTCTGGTCTCTCTCTCTGGTCTCTCTCTGGTCTCTCTCTCTGGTCTCTCTCTCATCTCTCTCTGGTCTCTCTCTCTCTCTCTCTCTGGTCTCTCTCTGGTCTCTCTCTCTGGTCTCTCTCTGGTCTCTCTCTCTGGTCACTCTCTCATCTCTCTCTGGTCTCTCTCTGGTCTCTCTCTCTGGTCTCTCTCTGGTCTCTCTCTGGTCTCTCTCTCTGGTCTCTCTCTCATCTCTCTGGTCTCTCTCTGGTCTCTCTCTCTGGTCTCTCTCTGGTCTCTCTCTCATCTTTCTCTGGTCTCTCTCTGGTCTCTCTCTCATCTCTCTCTGGTCTCTCTCTCATCTCTCTCTCTCTCTCTCTGGTCTCTCTCTGGTCTCTCTCTGGTCTCTCTCTCTGGTCTCTCTCTGGTCTCTCTCTGGTCTCTCTCTGGTCTCTCTCTGGTCTCTCTCTCTCTCTGGTCTCTCTGGTCTCTCTCTGGTCTCTCTCTCATCTCTTCTCTGGTCTCTCTCTGGTCTCTCTCTCATCTCTCTCTGGTCTCTCTCTCATCTCTCTCTGGTCTCTCTCTGGTCTCTCTCTGGTCTCTCTCAGTCTAAGCCTGGTCGTACCACACCATAGTACAGATAGGAGGGGTTAACTCCTTCTTGATAGAACCAGACCGGATTACTTTACTATCACATTTTTTACCAAACTACAACCTGCCCGTTTGGCACAAACTATTGACATCACCCCAGTGTGGGCAGGTCCGGGCTCAAAAGTGTCCAAAATGACGTGCGCTGACATGCTGCAATACCACCCCGGGCCTGTGGGGGTGGACCTGGAATAAGAATTAGCCAATGCTAACATATAGCATCTTCTTACCTCTGGAAAACGTCTTTACAGGATGGTCCAAAAGTGTCTCTTGACCCAAAGCTCCGTTCCACATGTGTGTCAATGCTGAGTGTTCTGGACCAGTCTAGTTTAGTCGCTGTGGACTTTAGAAGTCTCTGTTTAAATGAATGGAGCTGGTGCAGCTGATGCATTTTGTGATGAAACTGTGTGTCTGCTGGTCCCTGTCGTTCCCACACCATCACCTCCTCTGTACAACTGTGATCATTGTTTTCATTATTTCTTGCAGACACCTCCTCTGCTCCTCTCCCCCTCTCCTCGTCTGCTCCTCCTCCTCTCCTCCTCTGCTCCTCCTCCCCTGCTCCTCTCCTCCTCTGCTCCTCCCCTCCTCCTCTGCTCCTCCCGTCCTCTGCTCCTCTCCTCCCTCTCTCCTCCTCCTCTGCTCCTCTCCTCCTCTGCTCCTCTCCTCCCTCTCTCCTCCTCCTCTGCTCCTCCTCCTCTCCTCCTCTGCTCTTCTCCTCCTCTGCTCCTCCCCTACTCCTCTCCTCCTCTGCTCCTCTCTTTCTCTGCTCCTCTCCTCCTCTGCTCCTCTCTTCCTCTGCTCCTCCTACCCTGCTCCTCCCCTACTCCTCTCCTCCTCCTCCTCTCCTTCTCTGCTCCTCTCCTCCTTCTCTCCTCCCCCTCTCCTCCTCCTCCTCCTCCTCTCCTCCCCTCCTCCTCTCCTCCTCTCCCCCTCTCCTCTTCTCCTCCTTTCCTCCCCCTCCTCTGCTCCTCCTCCTCTCCTCCTCTCCCCCTCTCCTCTTCTCCTCCTCTCCTCCCCCTCCTCTGCTCCTCCTCCTCTCCTCCTCTCCCCCTCTCCTCTTCTCCTCCTCTCCTCCCCCTCCTCTGCTCCTCCTCCTCTCCTCCTCTCCCCCTCGCCTCCTCTCCTCCCCCTCCTCTCATCCTCCTCCCCTCCTCTCCCCCTCTCCTCCTCTCCTCTGCTCTGCTCCTCCCCTCCTCCTCTGCTCCTCTCCTCCCCTCCTCCTCTGCTCCTCTCCTCCTCTGCTCCTCTCCTCCTCTGCTCCTCTCTTCCCCTCCTCCTCTCTCCCCTCCTCCCCTCCTCCCCTCTCCTCCTCCTCTCTCCTCCCCTCCTCCTCCCCTCCTCCTCCCCTCACCTCCTCCTCTGCTCCTCTCCTCCTCTGCTCCTCTCTTCCTCCTCTCCTCCCCTCCTCCCCCTCCTCTGCTCCTCTCCTCCCCTCCTCCTCTGCTCCTCTCCTCACCTCCTCCCCTCCTCCTCTCCTCCTCTCCTCCCCCTCCTCTGCTCCTCTCCTCCCCTCCTCCCCTCCCTCCCCTCCTCCTCTCCTCCTCCTCTCCTCTCCTCCTCTCCCCCTCCTCCTCTCCTCCTCTCCTCCCCCTCCTCTCCTCCTCCTCCTCCCCTCCCCTCCTCCTCCTCTCCTCCTCTCCTCCTCCTCCTCTGCTCCTCTCCTCCCCCTCCTCTCCTCCTCCTCCTCCCCTCCTCCTCTCCTCCCCTCCTCCTCCTCTCCTCCTCTCCTCCTCTCCTCCCCCTCCTCTGCTCCTCCTACGGTCTCTGGCACAGCTTGGTTCTTACATCATATCTGGGACGCCTCCTTTGCCTCCTCTCTGCAGCTGCTCAATATTTCATTTCAATCCAAGGACAACGATGAGAACTCACAGAAATTGGTTTCTCTCTAAACTTGTGAAGTGCAGATTGCATCAGAGCGTTCTGAGAGAAGAGGAGGCGAAAACATGGGAGTCAGAGAGAAGGAGCAGGGTAAAGAATCCAGGGCGGGGTAGAATCAGTCTGTAGTGGGTCTACAGTCTCAGTCCTGGGTCTACAGCCTCAGTCCTGGGTCTACAGCCTCAGTCCTGGGTCTACAGCCTCAGTCCTGGGTCTACAGCCTCAGTCCTGGGTCTACAGCCTCAGTCCTGGGTCTACAGCCTCAGTCCTGGGTCTGCAGCCTCAGTCCTGGGTCTACAGCCTCAGTCCTGGGTCTACAGTCTCAGTCCTGGATCTACAGCCTCAGTCCTGGGTCTGCAGCCTCAGTCCTGGGTCTGCAGCCTCAGGCCTGGGTCTACAGCCTCAGTCCTGGGTCTACAGCCTCAGTCCTGGATCTACAGCCTCAGTCCTGGATCTACAGCCTCAGTCCTGGGTCTACAGCCTCAGTCCTGGGTTTGCAGCCTCAGTCCTGGGTCTACAGCCTCAGTCCTGGGTCTAGAGCTCAGTTCGATCAGGAAACCCCGAGAGGCAGTGATGGAGGCTGTGACCTCTGAACCCTGTCCATAAACACTGTCTGTTAACTGTGAAAAGGCAGAGAAGAGGCTTAAAAATCATTAAGATCCCCCTGAGTCTGACTTCACCAACGTCACAACATGGATTATACTCTAATGACAACCAGAGAGACCAGAGAGACCAGAGACCAGAGAGAGACCAGAGAGAGACCAGATAGAGACCAGAGAGAGATCAGAGAGAGACCAGAGAGAGACCAGAGAGAGACCAGAGAGAGACCAGAGAGAGACCAGAGAGAGACCAGAGAGAGATCAGAGAGAGACCAGAGAGAGACCAGAGAGAGACCAGAGAGAGACCAGAGAGAGACCAGAGACCAGAGAGAGACCGGAGAGAGACCAGAGAGAGACCAGAGAGAGACCAGAGAGAGACAAGAGAGAGACCAGAGACCAGAGAGAGACCAGAGAGAGACCAGAGAGAGACCAGAGAGAGACCAGAGAGAGACCAGAGAGAGACAAGAGAGAGACCCGAGAGACCAGAGAGAGACCAGAGAGACCAGAGAGAGACCAGAGAGACCAGAGAGAGACCCGAGAGAGACCCGAGAGAGATCAGAGAGAGACCAGAGAGAGACCAGAGAGAGAGACCAGAGAGATGCCAGAGAGATCAGAGAGAGACCAGAGAGAGAGAGAGAGAGAGACCAGAAGGACCAGAGTGAGAGAGAAAGAGAGACACGAGAGAGCCCAGAGAGAGAGAGACCAGGAAGTGCCATGGGTCTAAGGACAGTGGGCCTCCTGGTGCCTGCGGACCAATGGACCAGCAGGTTCCATATGAGAAGGTGAACCAGGACTTACCGGCCGCTGGTTCTGAGGAGGTGAAAAGTTTGTTGTCCAGCGTCTGCCTGATGTCACAGAAGACCTCCTCCTCATCTCTGTCGGCTTCCAGCTGAAAAACACACATTCGATTATATGTATTTGCTCGACCAACCGGACCAAGCTAGAGCGAGACAAGGGCAAAAAGAAATACACAAAAATGAGACACTAAACTCCTCAAAGAATCCTGCTTCAGTCCATGTGGATTTAGGCTGCAGTACCATGTGTGGCCTCTAGTCCATGTGGATTTAGGCTGCAGTACCATGTGTGGCCTCTAGTCCATGTGGATTTAGGCTGCAGTACCATGTGTGGCCTCTAGTCCATATGGATTCAGGCTGCAGTACCATGTGTGGCCTCTAGTCCATGTGGATTCAGGCTGCAGTACCATGTGTGTCCTCTAGTCCATGTAGATTTAGGCTGCAGTACTGTGAGTGGCCTCTAGTTCATGTGGATTTAGGCTGCAGTACCGTGAGTGGCCTCTAGTTCATGTGGATTCAGGCTGCAGTACCAGGGGTGGCCTCTAGTCCATGTAGATTTAGGCTGCAGTACTGTGAGTGGCCTCTAGTTCATGTGGATTTAGGCTGCAGTACCGTGAGTGGCCTCTAGTTCATGTGGATTTAGGCTGCAGTACCGTGAGTGGCCTCTAGTTCATGTGGATTTAGGCTGCAGTACCGTGAGTGGCCTCTAGTTCATGTGGATTTAGGCTGCAGTACCGTGAGCGGCCTCTAGTTCATGTGGATTTAGGCTGCAGTACCGTGAGTGGCCTCTAGTTCATGTGGATTTAGGCTGCAGTACCGTGGGTGGCCTCTAGTTCATGTGGATTTAGGTTGCAGTACTGTGAGTGGCCTCTAGTCCATGTGGATTTAGGCTGCAGTACCGTGAGTGGCCTCTAGTCCATGTGGATTTAGGATGCAGTACCGTGAGTGGCCTCTAGTCCATGTGGATTTAGGCTGCAGTACCGTGGGTGGCCTCTAGTTCATGTGGATTTAGGATGCAGTACCGTGAGTGGCCTCTAGTCCATGTGGAGACAGATTTAACAAGACATATTCAGATATTCCAACACATCCATGAAGTGAAAATGATGCATTAGTTTGAACAGTACAATAAAGAAAAATGGAGTAAGAGACGACAAGAAGACGCCAAGACATAACTTGGGGCCGTCCGAGTGAACCACAAACATTACTTTGACACTCAGTCCATGATTTCTTTGTCTTAAGATTTAAAATGAGGTTCAGCCGCGAGCCCATGTCCAGTGGTAATGTCTCTGGCAGCACTGATGGTTTTACTTTGGCATGTTCTGGTGCATTTCTCCAGAGAGAGCGTTAAAACTACATCGTCACTGAATCTGATCTAAAATGTTAAAAAAGAAAGAAGTATTGTAATGGGCGGCACGGTGGCAGAGTGGTTAGCACTCTTGCTTCACAGCAACAAGGTCGGGATGGGGCCTTTTTTGAGTGGAGATTGCATGTTCTACTGTGTCTGCATAGGTTTCCTCCGGGTGCTCCGGTTTCCCCTACCACTGTACTGGCCCCTCCCATCTCTGTGTGGAGGGCCAGACTAATGTAAACTGCTTTGACTCTGGTCTGAGAAAGGCGCTAAATAAACAAATACTATTTTATATGATGATATAATTGTGGCCCAAATGTGATTGACTTTAAAATAATAATCCAAACCTTCTATAAAATAAAAATCCAAACCTTCTATAAAATAATAATCCAAACCTTCTATAAAATAATAATCCAAACCTTCTATAAAATAATAATCCAAACCTTCTATAAAATAATAATCCAAACCTTCTATAAAATAATAATCCAAACCTTCTATAAAATAATAATCCAAACCTTCTATAAAATAATAATCCAAACCTTCTATAAAATAATAATCCAAACCTTCTATAAAATAATAATCCAAACCTTCTATAAAATAATAATCCAAACCTTCTATAAAATAATCCAAACCTTCTATAAAATATAAATCCAAACCTTCTATAAAAAAATAATCCAAACCTTCTATAAAATAATAATCCAAACCTTCTATAAAATAATAATCCAAACCTTCTATAAAATAATAATCCAAACCTTCTATAAAATAATAATCCAAACCTTCTATAAAATAATAATCCAAACCTTCTATAAAATAATAATCCAAACCTTCTATAAAATAATAATCCAAACCTTCTATAAAATAATAATCCAAACCTTCTATAAAATATAAATCCAAACCTTCTATAAAATAATAATCCAAACCTTCTAGAAAATAATAATCCAAACCTTCTAGAAAATAATAATCCAAACCTTCTATAAAAAAATAATCCAAACCTTCTATAAAATAATAATCCAAACCTTCTATAAAATAATAATCCAAACCTTCTATAAAATATAAATCCAAACCTTCTATAAAATAATAATCCAAACCTTCTATAAAATAATAATCCAAACCTTCTATAAAATAATAATCCAAACCTTCTATAAAATAATAATCCAAACCTTCTAGAAAATAATAATCCAAACCTTCTATAAAATAATAATCCAAACCTTCTATAAAAAAATAATCCAAACCTTCTATAAAATAATAATCCAAACCTTCTATAAAATAATAATCCAAACCTTCTATAAAATATAAATCCAAACCTTCTATAAAATAATAATCCAAACCTTCTATAAAATAATAATCCAAACCTTCTATAAAATAATAATCCAAACCTTCTATAAAATAATAATCCAAACCTTCTATAAAATATAAATCCAAACCTGTGTCAAATAAAATGTATTTGTCAAATTAAAAATGATGTAAAAACATGAATATAAAATAATAATAAAATAAGAGTAAAACACTACTTTGACACTCAGTCCATGATTTCTTTGTCTTAAGATTTAAAATGAGGTTCAGCCGCGAGCCCATGTCCAGTGGTAATGTCTCTGGCAGCACTGATGGTTTTACTTTGGCATGTTCTGGTGCATTTCTCCAGAGAGAGCGTTAAAACTACATCGTCACTGAATCTGATCTAAAATGTTAAAAAAGAAAGAAGTATTGTAATGGGCGGCACGGTGGCAGAGTGGTTAGCACTCTTGCTTCACAGCAACAAGGTCGGGATGGGGCCTTTTTTGAGTGGAGATTGCATGTTCTACTGTGTCTGCATAGGTTTCCTCCGGGTGCTCCGGTTTCCCCTACCACTGTACTGGCCCCTCCCATCTCTGTGTGGAGGGCCAGACTAATGTAAACTGCTTTGACTCTGGTCTGAGAAAGGCGCTAAATAAACAAATACTATTTTATATGATGAATAATTGTGGCCCAAATGTGATTGACTTTAAAATAATAATCCAAACCTTCTATAAAATAATAATCCAAACCTTCTATAAAATAATAATCCAAACCTTCTATAAAATAATAATCCAAACCTTCTATAAAATAATAATCCAAACCTTCTATAAAATAATAATCCAAACCTTCTATAAAATAATAATCCAAACCTTCTATAAATATAAATCCAAACCTTCTATAAAAAAATAATCCAAACCTTCTATAAAATAATAATCCAAACCTTCTATAAAATAATAATCCAAACCTTCTATAAAATAAAATAATAATCCAAACCTTCT